AGATAGATAGATAGATAGATAGATAGATAGATAGATAGATAGATAGATAGATAGATAGATAGATAGATAGATAGGTAGGTAGGTAGGTAGATAGACAGACAGACAGGCAGGCAGTCAGGCAGGCAGACAGACAAATACAATATGATATATACAGAGGGAGAGAGATGGGTAGAGTGGGAAAGAGATAGAGGTAGAAATTATATTGAAACTTTTGATTTTAGACATTTTTTTTTAGCGGCTTGAATCACTGTTGATTTTTGTTTTTGTTACAGTGTTTGAAGACCACTAGTTATTGTGGTTTCAATGCTTTAAAGAATCTTAGTTTCCAGAGCATGAATTTTTGGACACACTTCCTTGTGTTGCTTTCTTTTAATGTAGGCAAAGGCTTTTGAAATCAATCTTTAGATTAGAGACTTTTGGGATCGCACAATTCAAATTTGTGGCTCTCTTACCATTCCAATGGAGGTAATTGTGCCTTTTTATTCAGGAGCTGAAATCGTTCAAATACATGTAAAAGAGACTGGTACTGGGTTAGGACCAATGCAGGTTTTCTTGTAGGGTTTGCCGTCTCATAGAATTCACGCATCAAAGATTGAATCCCAGGAGCAGTGGATGGGAAGAGCTGAGAAGGATTATTCACAGACAGAATATCAGATTAATTTATGGAAAACAAATTAAAAATGTAGTATTATTAGGAAAGTCTTTATACTTATTGAGATTTTAAAAATTAGATATTTATTAAAAATCCACTAGTGGTACCATAATTTAATTTTCTGTGCCACTGTCAAAGTAAATGCCACTTTTTATAAGCAACTAATTTTATTGATTATATTTCGAAATGGAGTGAGTTTTCTTTTTGCTTGTCACTGAAAGGATTTTTTTCCCTTCCTTTTGATACCCAAAAATAGCTGACTAACATTATGAATCAGTCAAAGGAAGGAAAAGGAGAAATCCCCTGGGGTTACAAGTGAATATGTCAGAGTGAAAGATATTAATTCTGCCAGGAAAACCTCTATAGTTATCCTCTCTCTGCTCTGAAAGTCAGCAAATTGGGGTCCGCCCTTTCTCCTTCAAAATAATTCTTCCGTTCTCCCTCACATTGTGCCAAGAGATGTTCTCACAATTACACTATCTTAATTTATGAATTCCTGAAGGATGAGATCAGGTCTCTTTGATAATCTTAATATAGTGTTGAGTCAAAATGTCCTAAGAGTAATACCTATTCTACATGCTACTTAAATTCATTAAAATGATCCATTGACTAATTGCCTTTGGGGGCCCTCCCTGGTGTTGCAATGGTTTAAAGCACAACACTGTGATACTATTGCAGCCACTGCAGCACGAGTTCAATCCCTGGCCAGGGAGGTGACCCACATGGCGCGGCAGACCTCTCCTGTCTTGCCCACTGCTCCCCTTGTCAGTATATTTCAGTAGATCTGTCTGCTCTGCTTCCCACTCTGTCTCTGGTGAATCCCCCTGCACCTTTGGCCTATACCCCAGTTCTTGTATGCATAAATAAATAACTCTTAAATAAATAAATTACCTTTGGGGTGACAAGCTTACTTTGAACCTTCTAAAACATGGAGTTAAATTATAAAAATAAGTGTCTAATATTCATTAATTAATTTAATGAGTTGGCTATAACTCAGAAAAGTAGCATATGAATATACAAATTTTTATAAAATAAAAAAATAAATGTTTGATCGAGATTAATAATGAATTATTAATGGACTTTTTAGAATGCCATTTTAAAGGGTTTTGCATGAATACATCTTAGGTGAACAAATAAAAACTCATTACAGTTTATTTACATAAGTGGCAAAGTGGCACGCTAGAAATAAAGCAATATAGGGCATATACATACCTATTGTATGCGTGTGTATTTCTTTGATATTGACCAATGTATTAACAGACCCCAAGAAAAAACATAGGGTAGACAAGAAATGTCATTTTCAAGGCTAATATTAGTTATTATAATTGTTTAAAATTTCCTTTTATTTTTGAAGTTTGCTATAGACATACAACACATTAAGATTCCGTTACCATACTAACATGTTTGAAAATACTGATTTTTTTACAAACAAAAAGGGCATAATAAGCAGAAAGAAATTTTAGTTACACGTAACTGTCCCAAAGGTAAAAGCAAAGCTTCTTCAGAAAATGTTGACCTTTTTCTCTGAAGAACTGTCAAATCTGCCAGCTATCCTAATCTCATTTTCTGTTACCTTTAATAGTCACATATTTACAAACTGTCAAATAATATGCACTCTGTTCAACTTCATATTCAGATTTCTGAAAAGAAGAAAGAAGCTTATAAGGATTTCTATGTCTTAAAGAAATATCTTCAACTAATTTGAAGTAAAAATCTAACAGCTTATGGCTGATCTACTATAATCTCAGTAATCAAGAGGAATCAAATGTCACTTGTTTTACCAGCTGAAATTGTCCCAGGCTCCCAAGTTCCTTTATGAACGTTATAATTGAGTTAATCTCCTCTAAAGACAGGCATTGATTTGGTTCCTTTTGATAATTTTCACCCTGTAATAAGAGGGGGGAAAATTCTTGAATAGTTGCTACAAAGCCAAATTGTTTAGTCCAATTGCTCCTCACTCAAAAACCAATCAAAACTTGAGCATTTTAGTGTGAAACTCTTTAATGCTAAATAATACATAGTAACTTCCAGTTGTTAGAACTGTGTTTAAACATTGAGAACCGTATACATGGCATATCTCAGGAGTTTGGGTAGTAGGGTTGGAGGAATAAGCCCGGCAAGTAAGAAAGTGTGTGATGGGGTGGGAATTCAGGAGGAGTCTTCTTTCACTTCAGGTTAGAGTAGATTTTTAAATTCAAGATCAGAGTAGCAAATTTACATGTGAACCTCATTTATAGAACATCACTATGGTGGTGTTTCACAGAAATAAAAAGAATCCCCGTTTTCCCCCCATATCCAATTTTTCAAATGCACCCTTGTTTGGAAAAAGGTGCATTTATTGCTGTCCTTTCTGAGACAAGTGGTTCTAATGCTTTACAAAGTATTTTATCTTTAATTACAGTAACATTTGGATCCTCCCATCAGATATTACCACCACAGTGCATCCCCCACAGACTGCCCAGTCCATCATGATAATGTGCTTATTGACAACCATTCTCTAGAGAAACAGATCATAAGGAAGCTACAGTGTGTAAGGCCATTTTATATCTTCCCCACCTCTCCATAAAACATCAGCGTTTGTGAGACCTTTCAAACTCTATTCTTCCAGATTTCCCAATTACGGATTTCAAAAGAGCGTTACATAGAGAAAATACACAATAGTGTACTTAGAAATCTCTACAGACTTTTTTATGCATCAAGGTAAATTGTACTGACATTCCATAAAAATTAACTAATTCTGCTCTAAAACACTATACTCTAATCAACAGCATCCAAGCAAAAATGTTAACCAGATGTGAATGCTTTAAAAATTAGTATTATTACAGTTTTCCAATGTCAGTCCAGAGCACACACTACTACTTTAGACTGTTTCCAAAAAGCTCTAGTATTCTATTAGGCAATTATTCATAAGATCCACAAACTTTCCATAGAGATTAGAAACTGTTTTCTTTTATTTCAACCCATAATTGCATCATAATCAGTCATTCACATACTTATTTGACATAAAACTAATATTGGTCTAAAGGTTAGAAAAATATTAACAATATACCATAACTGGTACAAATTAATTTCAAATGCAATTAACAAGTTACTTCACTGCACAATAAAGAAAATGGCACATGTTATGAATGACCTGAAGGAATATTTTTCAGCATAAAATATGCACTTACCTTAAATTGATCTGACCTAGAAGGTCTCTGAAATATGTCAGAAAATATAGAAAATGAAGATTTAGTAGAGAAGAGAAAGTTGTAAGTGTCTTTTAAAAGGAGTTTTTCTATGTTTTGGTCCTCAAACTCAATACTCTCATCATCTTGAAAATTTAAATGTTCATGTACCTGTGAAAAAGTAAAAGCATAGTAGATATTTTTCATGACTTTCTTTTAATGTGTAAAATTATTCATAAATCATGATTCATTTCCTGTTGGATTGTAGATCAGAACTGACATCTAGTGGTCTTTTAGGAAATCGACAGTTTTATAAAATGCAAGTTATGTTCTTTCGAGAGACACATTGTGTCACAAGAAAACTAATTCATTACCACAGTTTATTCTAAAGTCTTTGGAGAAGTTGTGTTCATGGAAAGTATAATCTTCTGAGTGACAATTTTTTTAAAGCATAACACCAATGACTTGAGATATGTATATGAAATAATGGACAAAAGGCTAATGATAGAGGTTCAGAGTTTCAAAATTTTATGGATGTGTTTTGAGTTGTTCAATCAAATGTCATAGAAGTATTTAGTATAACCATTCTACTTGGGTAGTAGAAAACCAGCTTACTGTGAAGTTAAATCTGGTTATACACAATTTTATTTTGTTCTATTCTTCTCTTTCCCAACCCAAAGTCTGAGATAGGACTTTATAGACTAATGAACTTTTTTTTTTTAATCCTCTTGCTCCGAAGGACAATTTGTGATAAAAAAAAAAAATATGTTGGAGGAATTGATGAGTTAAGTTGACATGAGAGGAAGTAGAAGAATAAAAGTATATAAAACACAATTGAATTTATACATATTTTAACTAGAAAAACATTTACCAACTCACATGGCTTTATAATGTTCTTTGCTGTTGGAGAATTTGTGTTCATGGAAGATAATATACCATTCTAAATAATAAATGTAAAAAAATAGCTATTTTTAAAAACGAATGAGATAAGTGAGGTAATACATGCTTTAATCTGAATGTCTGCTTTTCTCACTTAACCCATATTTAGCTTCATATCACATTTATTTCTTAATCAGAGGTTGAGTCAGAGAAGAATTCATGCTAACTCTGTAGAGATGTGTGGAAAGGGCCTCCCTGGTAACAGAAGGGTTAAGTCACAAGTCATAGCTCTATCAAGCTATCATCAGCCACTGTAGCATGAGTTCCATCCTTGCCCATATGGCACAGCAGACCTCTTCTGTCTCCTCACTGCTCCCCTCAGCAGTGTATTTCAGTAAATCTGCCTGTTCTGCTCCCCACTGTCTCTGTTGAATCCTCTCACCCCCTGCACCTCTGGCCTACACCACAGTTCTTATATGCACAAATAAATAAATTTTAAAAATAAGATACATGGAGATTGGAAGTCAAATCATTGATTTGATTCCACACAGTTAATTCTATTTAACCCTGGTAAATAAGCCTGTAGCAACTTTGATAGAAGTTTCTATTTAGATTGCTGTGAGTGAAAACCCTACATTTTTAAGTTGGATTTTTTTTTTTGAGTCATATATACTGCATACTGCTCTTGACAACATGGATGGAGCTACAGGGAATTGTACTATGTGAAATAAGTCAGAAAGAGAAGACAAAATATTTAATGGTTTCACTCATATATGGACTACAGAGAGACAAAACGAGGGATCAGGAAAACCAAACCAAAAGAAAACATAAGAAGTCCGAGTATAAAAGTGAGGCTATCAGGGAGCTGGGGTAATGGAGAATGGAAAGGGAGAGGGGTCCCCAGTGGACTGTGGTGGAAGGCTGGGGATGCGTTGGTGGTGGGGGTGCTGAGGTGACATACATCTGAAGGATGTAAACTGATGACCCCCAGTCATGCATGGTATTGTAAAGGGATGACTCCTCAATAATAAATTTAAGAAAGAAATTTCTTAATAAATAAATAAATTTCTTAATACATTTAAGAAAATTAATGAAGGCCCTCCCGGGTGGCGCAGCAGGTTAAAGCACAGCACTAAGAAGCTTAAGCCACTTCGGCATGAGTTCGATCCCCGCCTGACCCAGAGGAGATCCACATGGCGTGGCAGACCTCTCCTGACCCACCCACTGCTCCCCACAGCAGTCTACTTCCTCGATCTGCCTGTTCTGCTCCCTGCTCTGTCTCTGGTGAATCCTCTCACCCTCCGCATCTCTGGCCTATACCCCAGTACTGCATAAATACATAAATAAATCTAAAAAAAAAAAAAAAAGAAAGAAAGAAAATTAATGAAAACCCAGAAAACTTCACATACTAACCCCTGAGCAAAAAACGGCAGCTCTCAGGCTTCAGCACACTCACCTGGACCAGGACAGGGTGCTGGGCACTGCCATAACCAATGTCAAAAGTTAAAAGTTGAAAGCACAATCTGCACCTGATGAAGACACGAGACAATATAAAACAATTCTATTTGCTACCTGTGTTCTATTATTTGGCATTAAATTATCAAATAGTTACACTAATGAAATTTCATTGTCTTTGTTAACAAAAAGAAAAATGACTTTGATAATCAAATGATACTACATGAGATTTATTTGGGGATCTGGAACATATTAGCTGAATACTGAAGATATTCCATGAAGGAAACTTCTGCTCGTGGTGGGAGGCAGCCCTGTTCACACAGAAAACTCAAGAAAGCTAGTGGTACTTCTCATTTTTTCTGGAACAGGGTGCTGGGCACTGACGTATCCAGTGACAAAACTTCCCAAGTTGCAACCATTTCTGATAATTAAGAGATATTTCCCCTCATATTTCTTTGCAAGTACATTTTTATCCTTTTTAAAAAAAGTATTATCATTATTTTTACCTAGCAAAGGCCTTTGGTCCCAGAGTAGAAGTCTCACTGAATGCTTCCGCTGCTAGCAGGAGCTTGCTAATTGCTTCCTTCATATGATCGAAAGCTTGAAGGGGTGAACCCGCTCTCAGGAATGTTTCAAAAAATGTTTGCAGCTGTGAATAAAGCAAAGCATATAATAAAACAACAATCACAATTTGTCTCTATCATTTCCAAGTGACTCACTTAAAGGATTCCTTTAGATTAGCTTTCCTTATCACACTAAAAAAAATTCTTAAGTCGGAGATTTTGGTAATCTAAGATTAACACATATTGTGTATGTTATATATGTGATGTATTGATTTTAAGAATATATAATGTACTAAATGTGTATTATAATGTATAATAAATATACTGAATGTGTGTTAATGAATATATATTATCTACATAATATATAATGAGCATGTTTATATATATATATCTCTTTTTAAAATTTTTTTTAAAAAGATTTAATTTTGTGCATAAAGAACTGGGGTACAGGCCAGAGGTGCAGGGGATGAAAGGATTCACCAGAGACAGAGTGGGGCGCAGAACAGGAAGATCGACAAAATACACTGCTGAGGGGAGCAGCAGGTGGGTCAGAAGACCCATGTGGATCAACTCCAGGGTGGGGATCGAACTCATACGGAAGAGGCTTTAGCTTCTTAGTGCTGTGCTTTAACCCGCTGCACCAGCAGGGAGGTCCCTATATATTTATCTTTTAATAGCTTTTCAATTAAATGACTGTACTTCTATATCTTGGAATTTCAATTACTTGAGGGGTACTGACTACACTTTTTTTTCTCATTACATAGCATCTAATCATGAAACATGAAGGGGATCTACAATAGGGTGTGAGATCAGAGCTCCCAAGTTACACTCGTGATTGAGCTAACTGGGTGAATATAGACTAGACATTCCCTTTTCTAAATTTTTGTACACTTTAAAATGGTTCAACAGGGGCTTCCCTGGTGACCTAGGGGTTCATTTTCAGCACTATTACTGTTAAAGCCTGAGTTTGATCTGGCCAGGGAGCTGACCCACGTGGCCCAGCAGACCTCACTTGTCTCACCTGCTGCTCCCCTCAGCAGTGCATCTCAGTAGATCCACCTGTCCTGCTCCCCACTCTGTCTCTGGTGAGCCCTCTCACACCCCACTACACACCTCTGGCCTATACCACAGTTATTCTATGCAAAAATAAATACAATTAAAACTAAACAAAATAAAATGGGTCAATATCTACCAATAAGAGAGTAAGGAAGGGCAATTAACAGAAAAAATGCATCTGCAACACACTATAAAAGTAGGAAATGCAACTATCAGCTTATGATTGCTTTTTTGCATGTCAAAACAAATATAACCATCCACCTTGCTTCTTCCTCACAGCATTTTGCTATGGGAGATGCTACCAAATGGGGAAGAATATTTAAAGAAATTTCATATTTTTAGTTCCAGGTTTTATGTGGATAGACTGGTTGGTACAATATTATAAAGGGGGGACCAAGCTCAGGCTTATGACTTCTTAGAAATATTATAGTTTGTATCAGAAATAACTTTCTACTTGATTAAAATTTAAACCAATCACATCAAAATTTCCTTGAGGGTGCTTAACAACAAAGTTCAACAAAATTTTTAAAAGTACAAAGCAAATCTCATATTGATTCATAGACTATCTCCAGATAAACATACTTTTCCAGAGATGAAGAACAAAAAATATTTTTTGAAAAAACACCAGCAGGTATTCTATTAATGTTTTTGCAAGAACACACTAAAGTAAATCTGAACCTCCTAAGACTGCAAAGTGAAAAACTTTTGTTGCTATGATAATGAGGGACACATTTTGGCACAAGTCATCTGAAGGAAATAGTTATTGTACTTAAAAATCCACAAGCCAAATTCCCACAAAAGAAATGACCTCTGTCTTCATGATGTTTTCCTAGCTGAAAAACAGAAAATTAATGACATAGACCCTATAAACACATCATGAGCATCTGGCAGTTGGGGTGTTTTCCCATTTCTAAGTACTAAGGGTAAATATAATAATTGTGTGATCAAAAGACTGAAAATTAATGCTAACCTAAAAACATTAATGCCCTTGACTTAAAATAGAGTGACAATGTTTTTTCCAAATAAAATAGTTCATCATATTTCACTCAGTTCATTATATTATATGGAAATGGCCATTGATATTATTGTACTTTTCTACTTGATGTTTCCTGAATAGCACAGATGTCAAGGTAATAGTTTAAGAAAAATTTAAGAATGTTGAAAGTGTTTGTACAGTATATAATATAGAGAATGTGGCCATATATAATGTATATATGGCTATAAAATTATATCCTCTATAGTGAAAAATAATTAATGTCTTAGGATTGTATTTATTCTTCCAAATGGGAAAGATTCTATCTGAATTTCTGAATGTAACATAAGCAGTGAATTCAGTCACAATCAATTCAACTTTTAGTGAGAATTTTAGCTGTTGGGAAGCCCTGTGTGCTCCAGGCTTTGGGGAGTAAGGAACAGCCAGTGACTAACACATGGACTGAAAGCAAGAAGTCACAGGTTCAGTTTTTCTCTACATGTTCCATTAAATTGTGACAGCTTGTGTAATTAAAAACAGTACCTACTACACAGAGGTATTTCTAGGATTAAATGAAATAATATACTTCATGCACTACTATCCAATATGTACCAATGCTCAACATGTTAGCTCTAGTTATTAATCAAAACAAGTCTATAGCCAGTTAAAGGGAATTTCAATGCTGAATCCAGATTCTCCAAACACACTGAATGACATTTAATCAAAACTGACAGGAATACAAACACCTGTTGAACAAACCAAGGAAGAACATTTGAGAATTGGACTTCCAGTGTGGAACTTAATGTGATAAATACAAATGTTGACCTAAATCATGTATACCAAAACTTAGTGTTATGTTGCAATGCTATTACAAAAAACTTATAAAAATAAACATATGATAAGGCTTTTATTAGGAATAATTTTTAAAAAGTTGAATGGGGCCAATTCTCCTAAGGCATGCCTCCCAAAAGAAATGAAAGAGCAAAACTGAGGGACCCAAATAACTTGTTTTCTCCTAGTTCCCTAAGAAATAGCCTGCTAAGGGAAGTACTAAATTCTACCAACAATCATAACAGAGGAGAATCTACTTATATTTGCCTTTAAGAACAGAAGTATACAGAAAGGAGAGAAAAATTACATTCAAAAAGCATTGTTCAAAAAGGAGCAACTTCAAATTAATGTTTTTGCATTTTTCAGTAAGTATCCAGAAGTAGGCCACATAGAGTTTCTTTTATTTATTTTTTTAGGATTTGCAATATGGCTTTCTATAGTGGTTACACCAATTTGCATTCCTATAAACAATGTATAAGGACTCCCTTTTATTCATATCCTCTCCAACACTTGCTGTAGATTGTCTTTGAATAATTCTCACAAAAATGAAGTTATGTCTCATTGTTGCTTTGATTTCATTTCCCTAATATTAAGACATGATGAGCATCTTTTTATGTGCCTATTATGTATTTTTATGTGCCTACTTGTAATTCTTCTTTGAAGAATTCAGATCTTCTGCCCATTTTTAAATTGAGTTTTATTCTATTTTTGTGTGTTTTGAGTTCTTGGCATATTTTAATGATGAATGAAAAGTATGCAATACTTATGCAATACAAAATACTATTCAGCAATACTATTCAACAATAATAAGTATTAAATTTGCAACAACATAGACCTAATTATGCTTAGTAAAATAAGGCAAGCAGAGAAAAACAAATGCTATTTAACTCATGTGGTATATGGAGAAAACAAAACAAAACAAAGAAATGAACTAAGCAAGAAACATAAACCTTTGGACTATAAAAAACAATTAGTAGTTACCAAATGGGAATGGTAAAGGGAGAGTAAATAAATTGGGAAAAAAGAGGACAATGGTATAGTGAAGAATAGATTTGCAATTTTAGCAGAACGCTTAATGCACATGCTGATTCTCATCAAAAAATGTATGCTTGTGCAAAGCAAGAAACAAGAACTCAGAATATCACAAGCTTGATTCAAGAAGCCTAATAAGACCCTGTAGTGTATACACATTTTAATACTCAACAATGGACACCTGAAAGTTATCCAATGTTAATTCTATAAAAATAAAGTAACAAAAGCAAAGAGCATAGCTACCTTTATTTTTGTTTTGGTTCTGTTCCAATATTTTTGTATCTATCTCACTGCATAGATTTTTATGTATTTAAGCCCTTTGCTTCAAAGAAAATTCCATATGACTGACTTCTTTTACTTAAGTTACTTAAGTATAGTGGCAAGCCAATTATGTATGCCAGAAATAAAACTGGAATTTGTACATGCTTGGAAGGTATTTATAAAAATAATCAACTTTCAGTAAGTGTCCTAGAAAGGGCATAATACTTTCTGGTAATTAATTCACTTAGGTGAAGTAGAAGACGCTTTGAGTGTCTGCTGGTATTGCAATTTGTCAATATGTGGCAATAATTGTGTTTCCCTGTCAAGTTAATGAAGTTTTGTGTATCTCATGTGCTTGGATATTGAAAGAGAGAACTCTGTTCAATGATGTCATCAGAATGTCAAATCTGAAATTATTTGATATTAATTCCATTCAAAGCCTTCAAAACCTATTCATCCATAAGTTTTCTAATTCAATCACAAATACTTGGAAAGTACCATTACCTTCCTTACTAAACACTCAAGCCATGAGCTTAAATATGAAGAAAACTTCTCCCACTCCACACGATGATGTTTAATTAGTATTTTTTAGTTACAGAAATATGGGAACATAAGGTTCCAAGGAAACCAATGCTTTGGCAGTGAGCAAAAATGCATAAAATATATCTTGAAACTTTAAAGTGGCATGCAACTGTGCTATGACTTATAAATTTTCCTACTAAGTATAAAAATGAAATACAAACTTAATATAAAATATACAGAGGATGACCTTGTGGAATACAAAGAAACAAATCAAAGGAATAGATAAGAATAAACCAGCTTCATATAATAACATACATATGAAGAAGTGTGACTCTGTACTCCTAAACTACATACAGAGGGGTGGGCCAACATTAGCTCAACAATACAACTAAGATAAACCCATCAATAAAA